TAAAACTCGAGAAGTAAAATAAATGGACGATTTCGGTAATACAAAAACACAAGCCAAAGAAACCAAGAGAACCACAAAAAGAATAACACGAAATGATTCTAATTATTCCAAACCTACAAATTTGCATGCTTGGCCTTAGGTGCAAGTATCTCAAATGAGTGAACAACATGATGATATTTATACTAAAAAAAATGATGAGAAGTGAAAACACAGAGTCCGAGTTTGCAAACAATCAAATTTGTATTATTTGATTTTATTACCAATTGACCGAGCTTCAAACTAACTACAATTTCTACAGAAAAAGAACAACACGGCTTCTCAAAACAAAATTCAATCATTCCTCACAAAAATGTCCTTTACAACCAAAAGAGAAAAAAAAAACAAAGCAGTATCCACGAAACCCACAATTTCAAAAGGCCATATGAACAGGGGATGCGAAACAATCGAAAACAGTYAGTGGGTGTCGACCAAACCCTAGACAAATTGCAGTCCTTTGTTAGTACAAATCATGAAGCAATAGAGATTCTAAACAGTCAATTGGAGTATTCTGACATTCATAAGAAACTTACCCACTGCACAAAGGGATGGATGCCGCCGTCGATCAAAGCCATGGAGGTCGTCGTCCTCGTTGCTGTCGCTGTCGATCAAAGCCATGGAGTTCCCCATCCTATGTTGTTGTCGCCCTCGATCGAAGCTGTGGACTTCGACTGTCGCCACCAGACTCGCTATTCTACCTATTTCACGCGACAATGAGGTGAGAGATAAAGACCACAAAATTTGGTGGAAAGTTAGTGTTAGGGTTAAAAATAAAATTTGGGCCACTTTTGATGGCAGGCCCAAATTATGATCTACTATGTCGGGCCTTGCCCGACATTGAAATATAATTTCTTTTCTTTTTTTATTTTTTAAATTGTCCATCATTGTTTCCTCCGTGTTTTTTTGTCCGTCATAGTTTCCTCCGTATTTTTTTTGTCCGACATTAAAGCTCATATTTGTTGTAGTGTAGTTTATAGTTGGATAATAAATACATTGTTGATTTTAGAGAATCGATAGTCCTTAGGATACAAGATGAAATTAAAAGGGTAAAACGTACTTTTTGACTCAGTTATAATTTCGATCAACTTATGAAGAGTCAACTTGCATGTGGTAATTATATCCATGGACATAACTTATACCAGAGTAATAAGAGTGTAACTTATACATTTTGAGTAGCAATCAACGAATTAATATTAAATATATTAAGATAGAATTATGAACTTAAATAAGATTTAAATTATGACCTCATCATCTATATAAATAAGGCCCCCGGCTAAAAATCTCCCTTCATTTGGGAGTTGAAAAAAACGGAAGAAAGTCTTTCTAATTTTTTCAAGGAGCTTTCCATCCACCTTTATTTATTTATTTATTTATTTTTAATTTTTTTTTTGTGGAGTCACAGCAAGGAAAACCTATTGGAGATCTATATGGATGAGAATATGAAAAGATTGAGAATCTTCAAAGGTACGTAACTATTATAATTTTTATATTTCTTTTGAGAATTTATATGTGTATTAAGATTTTTTAATTTAATTTGTCACTAACATATAGTCCTCTGGATTGGGTTTCTAGCTCACTCAAGTACCACATGTACAATCACTCAATTTTATTTAGAGAATCGAATCCGAATGAAATAATAGAATCAAAGAAAATAAACATGTATTGAAATAAAGATAAAAACAATTGGGAGAAAGGTCCTAKGAATTGATTTCACCTATTGAACTTATGAACCAATTAATCAATTACTCAAGATTAAACAAATTATATATCCTTTAGGCCAAGAACTCTCAAATCTCAACTACCTCTTCCGAGCGCAAGCTAACTCTCCTTACCAATTATGAAACCAATATTCTTATCTAGTTTCTATAACAAGTAAAGACTTTATTATGCAAGACTTTTAACGACCTCTAAAGGACTTCTAAATCTCCCGATCTTAAAACCCCTTTAGTTATGCATCCTAGTTCTAACTTTAAACCACCACTCCCGAGCGTAAGATTTCAAGTGTAAAATCAATCAATCTATAGCCAGTATATTCAACGCAGTAAGCATAGAGAAGCATAAATAGAACATTCATAAATATTCAATCAAGAAAACTAAATAATCAATGCATAAAGTTCAATGGCTGCATCAATCCCTAAATATGAGGTTTAGCTTCTCATATTCAATGAAAACAATAAAATCACAGTGAGAAGTTCATAACAAAACTAGAAAAATCAAGGGAAAGGAGAAGAAATTAAATCTGGCGTGTCAATCGTCCGTCCCCGAAGTGACCTCCACGATCCCGAGCCTTGAAAATATATTTTCTAAGCTCTCAAATGGTCTATTTGCCCTCCAAATTAGCCAAAAATCCAAACTGCCAAAAAACCTCTATAAAATTTCCCCCCTCAGCGGCTACACAACCCTATTTTTATAAAAAGTTGTCGTGGCAGCGCCATGGCGCTATACTATTCATAAAACGCGAAATTGAAACTTTGGAGCGCTGCGGCGCTCTAGGCCAGCGTCGTGGTGCTAGCTCCTCAGGTTTTTTGCTTCAAATCTTGTTGTTATTTCATCTTGGTCACTTTGATTCCGATTTTTTTCTCATTTTGATCCAAATAGGTCTTATTTCCTCCCGATACTTTATTCCTGCAAAATATATCTTATGTGCTTAAATTTGTCATGAAGAAACGAAAACTAACAAATAATTAGAATATAAATCCCATGAAAGGTAGCTCACAAAATGTGCTATCAGTAATTGGATCATTTTCCTCGTTCGAGAATCTCCTCACAAAATCTCATAATTCTTCAAGACCAACTAGAAAGAGATTCTTTAACCATAAAGAATTCAGTTTAGATGTGGGAGTCGTATAATTAATSTAGGGTTTATCTTTTTAAGCATATGTATTCTTTTAGGTACAATATGGGCTAATAAGACATGGAGATCATATTTGATGGTGAAGTAAGACTAAGCTTATGAGCTTATTATCATAGGTCGAAACAAGTTAACAAGTTAACGTAGGGTCTTCCAAAAGTGGAACAAGTATTAGAAGTGCGATCGATTGATTCAATATCGATGAGCCTACAGAAGATAATGTTACCTAGTATTGTCATAATATCAACCAATTTTTCATTCTTTTAACTAATTGAGGAAGGATTTGGAGTACCTAATAAAACAACATTTTTTATAAGTGCCACAAGTTTTATTATACCACCCATATAAACCATATTCTGACTTTTATCTCGAGAATATCTAACCACCAATTTCATTAAGTGAATAATTGACCAATCCTGGAAATACAACATCCCACTTTTTTTTACTATCTAGGGCTTCTATACATTGCAATAGTTAAAATGTTATAATTTAAACATGAAATAATTTAATTCTCTTCATTTATTAGGTATAATATATATTTTTAGATCAAATACTAAGTATAAATATATAGAAATATATTCCAGAAAGTAAATAAGATTTCTAAAAAATAGAAATATATATCAATACTCAAATTAAATGTAAATTTTGATAAATAACTCACTTCTTGGACGTTGACACCCCAGCATATTTTTTTCTTTTATGCCGCGTAATTCTTCCTTAGTCAGGCTTGGGCAGAATAGTAGAACAAATACAAGTATTAGTAAACTAGCAAAACTTCGGGACAACTCATGATGCTCATATCGATCTATTATATGCCTCTGCATCTAGCATTGGTACACCTCATACAATAACTATCCTAGTTCTACCGTATCT